GCTAGAAAGGTGGCAGGGGCCTACATGGGCTCCTGAAGGTCATGGTATGGATTTGTGCCTTTAGCTTAAGAACCCATGGAGGTTTTAAGTAGCACAGGGGGAGGTGGGGGTGGGGCGGCATAGAAACATGATCACATTTTGTGTTTGAAAAGGTATCGATTCCTTGGTGGGCAAGGAGGGTGTTCAATAGCATTTACCACGTATGTATCTCCATCTTCTCTAACAATACCCTGTATTGAAGCACTGGGGATTAGTGCCTCAGTTTTCAATGCCAGGAGTATATTAGAATCTCCTGGAGGACTTTTTAAAAGCTAGGGTCCATCCCCAGAAATCTGGATTTAATTGGTCAGAAGTGGAGCTGGAGCATGGCTTTTGCGTGTTTGTTTGTTCCCAGGTGATTCTAAATATCATCAAGGTTGAGACCCGTAGGTTCCGTGGAAAGTGCAAAACAGGTCCGCAAAGCGTGGTCCTAACATCAGCATCGCCTGGGAATCTGTTAGAGATGCAGATTCTGAGGCCTGATCTACCACTGATGGAGTCAGAAAGGCCGAGGCTGGACCCCAGCAGTCTGTGGTTTAACAAGCCTTCTGGCGGTTCTGAGGCTGACCCCAAGGTAAGAAGCACTAAACTGTAGAGGGGTCACAGGCAAGAGAACCCAGAGCCTGGATCTGATTCTAGATCTAGCTGTAGAGTAGCCCTGTGATGAGATAGGAGTAGAGGCTCACAAATCATTAGACTTTCTGGCCCTCAGTGTCTCACCTGTGAAAAGAGTAGACCAGATTGGACCAGCCCAAAGGGGGTCTATGATGTTAAGGATCTATTACCTGGGCCCCCTAAACCCAGCAAAGTTTTTATAATGTACTTGTACAAAATCTATATTTTTTTTTCCTTTTTTTCAAGTCTTGTTTGAATTCTAGTTAGTTAACATATGGAATAAAATTGGTTTCAGGTGTAGAATTTAGTGATTCATCACTTACATACAGCACCCAGTGCTCATCCCAACAAGTGCCCTCCTTAATACTGGACAAAGTCAGTATTTCTATATAATGGAAATAGAATGTAATCATTGTAGTAAACTCAAAAAGCACAGAAAAGAATAAAGAAGAAAGTATATGTCAGTTAAAATGTCTTCACCCAGAGATAAATGTTGCTTTCCTCCAACAGTAAGGTATACTGGAGATATTCTGGTATGTTTTCTTCTGATAGTCTCTGTACATGTACTTACAAAAGTGAGAATCATACTAAATATGTTTCAAGAGCCTACTTCCTACATATTATATCAGGAGCATATCCCTTCCTCATTAAAAATTATTTTAATCATCTTCGTTAGTGCCTTTATGGTAGTCCATTACATGTTTACACCATAATTTAACCTCTCCCTATCTGAAGTGTATTCTCATTTCTTGATATTGTTATGAATACCTATCTCTTTACCTATGTACCTTTTCTACTTAATTCTTTGTCTGAAGACCTTCTTAAGAGAGTCCTGGAAATACAGTCATCAGATCAATATAAATGAGACATTTGATACGTTGCCAACTTTTCCCCCCAGACTTGAGCTACTTCATCCAGACACGAGCAAAGAATCAGAGAGCTCTCCTCTTGACTCTCACTAGCCTTAATACTATTGATTTCCATTTCCTACACCTCCACAAGGCAACAGCTGCCTATCGCTGCAGGCTAGCGTCTGCATCTAGGGTAGAGCTCAGGCTTTCTCCCTCCCTAGGGGCGACTCAGACTCAAGGGACAGAGAAGTGAGAGAGGCCCCAGGAACACAAGAGCTGGGGCTGGAATAGTGGAGACAGGCTCACCAAGGATGGATGGTGACATTCTCAATGAACCCTCCTTAAAACGCGGAGTGGAATTTACCTGAAGTCTGTGGAAGAATTGCAGATAGGTGATAAACCACCTTTTCTAGAAGTTGGTACTAATAAGGCAAAATGTTGTGGTCCCGGAAGTAGGCTTGCATAAGCCAAGGTGGGGGGTGGGGGTGGGCATTGGGTGGATGAAGTCTGAGGTTCCGTCTGGGTCTATGATGCGAGGTGACTAAAGTCAGCACAGAGGGAAGGGTATGCCTCTTTCTCGCACCCTCTTTCTCTCCCAGGCACTCTGCATGCACACAAGCACCCCCAAAGGGCTTCGTTTTCCCACATCTTACTGCCCACTGAGCCACCCTTGCCTCCTTGTCTTCCTCTGACAACCTTCCACTGCCTTCTTGTTACCTGATTCTTTCTTGGCTTCAGGATCCAAAACATAGAAGGACAGTGAGAGGCCATAAAAAATAGAATCCCAACCCTTATTTACAAAAAGGAAAAAGGAAGTGGTAAGCTTATTTCACTATTTATTTATAGTCCCACCTACTTCCGAAAGTATCTTAAGTAGTGCCTGCTTTAGAAGAAACCTCAGGAAAGACAACATTCTCCTCCTTAAAAACCAGAGCAGGTAACACCAGCCCTGGGAGTTGCTAATGATTAACAAGGGAGATGAGAGTAATTTGGGCATTTAACCCCTGGATGTTTTTAAATGTGGACATTATTTGAATGAGGCTGTTTAGAGGGTGATTAGAAGCATAGATTTAGAGGGCGCCTGGGTGGCTCTTTCGGTTGAACATCTGGCTTTGGCTCAGGTTATGATCTCACTAGTCATGGGTTCGAGCCCTGCATCAGGCTCTGTGCTGACAGCTCAGATCCTGGATCCTACTTTAGATTCTGTGTCTCCCTCTCTTTCTTCCCCTTCTCTGCTTATGCTCTGTCTCTCTCTGTCTCTCAAAAATAAAAGTGTTTTTTAAAATTAAATACATAAATAAATAAAGCGTATATTTATTATTTACCCAAAAGTACTGAAAATAGGTGTTCAAACAGAAACTTGTTAACAGCACTATTTACAAATAGTCAAAAGGTAAAAACAACACAAATCATTAAAAAACTATAATACATACACACAATAAAAATCAGTAATAAAAACCAGTGAAGTATTGATACACGCTACAGCACAGATATACCTTGAAAACATTTTCTAAGTGAAAGAAGCCAGACACAAAAGGCCATATATTGTATGATTCCATTTATATGAACTATTCAGAATAGGTAAAGCCATAGAGGCAGAAAGCAGATTGTGGTTGACAGGGGCCTGAGGAAGAAGGGAGTGGTGAGGGACTACTTAATGGGTATGAAGTCTCATTTTGGGTGATGGAACATTCTGGAACTGGATAGTAGTAATGATTGCAGAATATGATGAATGTACTTAATGCCACCAAATTGCTGAAGCGTACACTTTAAAATGGTTAAAATGGTCAATTTTATGTTATGTGCATTGAATCATGATAAAAAAATAAATTGCTCTTAGCAAAGAAAAAAGAAAGCACAGACCTAGTTAGCTGTGCCTGAGTTCAAATCTCAGCTTCCCATTTTCTCTTCTGTAAAGTGGGGATAAGCATAACAGTAGCTACCTCATAAATCTTAAATAAGTCAATGTATGTAAAATACTTAATACAATACCTGGCGCATGGGCAGCATGCTGTAAATATTTGTGTTATTAATCTAACCCAGCTGTTCTCCACTGTGGGCAGTTTTGCCTCACAGGAGACACTTAGCGATGTCTGGAAAGATCTTTGATCACCACAGTTGGGGGGGTTTCAGATGGCATCTGTGAGAAGAGTTAAGGGATGCCACCAGCTATCCTACAATGCACAGGACAGCCTCCCACAAGAAAGAATTACCTGGTCCCCAATGTCAGTAGTTCCAATGGAGAATCCCTGATTTGAACAGAGCATGTAGGGAAATGTGCTTCCTCTAATGACTGTGTGGATCAAAATAGGTCAGACCAAAATTTTTGTTAGAAAGGACTGCCCACCAAAGTGTGACGTGCCCACCGTGTATTGAGTACATGTATTAGTCATTCTGGGGGATATAAAAAAAGCCAGGGCACTGTTCTTGAGATACTTGGGTAAAGAGCTCTGTGTGATGGAGTTAGTTAAGAGGGAAGTTTTACTGAGAGACATTTGTCATCAGTTTTCCTCTAGTAGGAGGGTGATCGGGGTCATCCACACTACTCACAATAATGCTCACTCAAATGCCAACACTCTGGTTGCTTGTGAAGAGGCATCTTAAGTGACCAGTGTGTGGCTCCTTCACGTGTCTGAATAGGTCTTATGTTTGGGTGAATTGCATGGGACAAATATCTGAGAAACAAATCACAAATAGAAAATACAAATTACTTGTTATAAAGGCACAGATGCAAGAGAAGATATGAAAGTTCCTTATATTCAACCGTCATGGACCAAAAGGAAAAAGGAGAGCCATTTTCCCACGTTCTATTTAAAGAATTGTTTTATCAGATTCTAAAACCATATCTCTATATAATTAGCCTAGTTTGGGCCACAGAATCAGTTCTTACACAGAACGGATCACCATCAAAATGTCTTTGTGGGCCTGCTACAGCAGTGAGACTTGGGGAAGGACCCTAATTCCTTCTGTCTTTTTGCCTTTAGACTAAGGATTACAAGCCTTTCGAAGATATGCCATGCTGGGGCTCCTGGGTGGCTCAGTCCGTTAAGTGTCTGACTCCAGCTCAGGTCATGATCTCACAGTTCGTGGGTTCGAGCCCCGTGTCAGGCTCTGTGCTGACAGCCAGCTCAGAGCCTGGAGCCTGCTTCAGATTCTGTGTCTCCCTCTCTTTCTGACCCTCCCCTGTTCACACTGTCTCTCTCTCTCAGAAATAAATAAAGCATTTAAAAAAAAAAAAAAAGAGATAGGCCATGCTTTCACACAATCCCTGTGAATGACAGATGTCCTTTATGATGGGGCAATGGAAAGGAGGAGTCTGGTGGGGCCCATCAGGAAGGCAGATCTCTGAAAGTTCGGTCCCTGGAAACCACAGCATGGTGATGGGGGATCATAGGACAGGCAGGAGACCCCACCCCGTGCAGTCACCTTTGCACAGCTTTCTCCACAATGCTGGCTTCCCGTATGCATGGGCCCGTCTTGGCAACTTACAGTCAGTGCCTGGCAAGGAATTTTATTAGATACTCGTGAAGGTGAACTTGACATAGAGCGTGTCACAGGGACTTCTCAATAGGGCAGAGACAGGTATAAATCACTCTAATGTAAGATAGAAAGTGACAATGTGCAATAAGGAAGATGTGGGGAAAACCCTGGGGGGTTTCAGAAGAGAGCATTGGCTTCTGGTGGTGAGTTTGGAGAAGCCTTTGTGGAGAGGGTGGCATTGGGGTTAAAATGTGAATGTTTTTGAGCCCCTAGACATGTAAACTGATACTGGAGTATGCTAAAGAATGGAGCCAGCTACCCAGGTGAGTGTGTCAGGAGGAGGGTGTGCAGGATTTGTGGAGGGAAGTGGAGAGAAGTATGTGAGCTGGGTAGATTGAGATGAGCTCATGAACAGCCGTTAGGCCGTGGAGGATCCCTGACATTTTCTAAGCAGGTGTAACTGGACTACAAGATGGCTGTAGAGCTGGGTGTGCGGTATGCTGCGGGAATACCGTGGGGCAAGAACAGCAAGAGGGGGCAGGCTTGGCCAATTACTTTAGGTAACGCAGGACACAATGGCAGGAAGTGACAGTGCATCAGCTCCCTTGGGCTCCAGGACTTGGTGCTCGAGAACACGGTGCTTGGCACAGACACTCTGGGCTGTAGTCCCAGGCTGTGCCCCTTAAGCCAATGGCAGGTCCTTAGGCAAATGGCTTCCCCTCTCGGTGCCTCAATCTCTTCATCCAAAAACATGGGAAGAAAAGTCTTGTTCCTCATACCCATGAGCTGAACAGTAAATGAGTAAGCGCATCTAAACATCCTGAATATTGTCTGGCACAAGAATGATGTCGTGCTTGATAGTTCAGTATACAAATCGGTCCTTATTATCACCCAAGGTAACAAGGATGACCTGGAAAGATGCACTTCTGAACCAAGGTGGAAGACGGTAATTGTCAGGAATGAAGGATTATACAGGAAAACACCCGCCTTGCATGATTCTTCACAAGGCTGCTTGGAGGGGCTGGAGGGTGGCGCCATGCCTCAGTAGAAGACGGGATGGCGGACTGTACATGGACTGTACATCTGCTAATGGCCCGGCTGTCTGCACAGTCCTCGCTCTTTAGTTCCAACAGCATTGATTTCACTATCCGGCATCGGCGGCATTAAATTTTGTCGGCAGATCAGGAGTTATTCCCAAGACATAATGATTTCCTCACTGCTAAGTGGAGAGACCTGGGACCAAAAACTTCAGTCCCTAGTGAGACCCTCAAACAGATGATGCTTTAACAACCATCGGGAGCATCAGGCTTAGGCCCTAAAAGAACAAACATTGAAGATGTATTTAAAATAAAAGCAACCTTGATGTTTAGGTTTGAATTAAGGACTAGCGTCTTGTCTGCAGGCGTGCAGGGATTGGGGAGAAGGGAGACTGGAGGGTGCCTTCAGAGCAAGATGCCCTCCCTCTTACATTGAAACTCTGGCTGAAGGGGCACCTGGGTGGCTCAGTTGGTTAAGCGTCTGACTTTGGCTCAGGTCATGATCTCACAGGTTGTGGATTCAAGCCCCACGTCGGGGTCTGTGCTGACAGCTCAGAATCTGGAGCCTGCTTCAGACTCTGTGTCTTCCTCTTTCTCTCTGCCCCACCCCTGCTCATTCTCTGTCTCTCTGTATCTCTCAAAAATAAATAAACATTTAAAAATTAAATTTTAAAAATTCTTTTAAAAAAGAAACTCTAGCTGTAGATAGAACTCAGTGCTGAAATGTTAGGCTTTTTCGGTGTCCCATTCAGTGTTCAGAAGGTTCTAATACAGTGCATGCATAAGAATGATAAGAATGAAAATGAAGCTTCGAGTGCTAGGGCAGGGGTTTTTGTTTGTTTGTTTTGTTGTTTTTTTTTTTTTTTTTTTGAGGGAGACAGGCTTTATCCCTATAAGATTAAACAGTCATCAGGGTTTAAAGGTTTAATCTGCCTGTGTTCTGCCCAGGATGGGGCTCAGAGCCCCAGAATAATTGGATACAGCGCCGGGCTTTGAACGCGCGCGCGCGCGCGCGTGTGTGTGTGTGTGTGTGTGTGTGTGTGTAATGTACAAGCAAGCAAGAGGGGTCTCTCCCGTGGCAGGAGGAATAAAGCTGCCTGCCCCTGCTCCTCCATTGAGCCCTCAGTGGCGACAGGAGCCGGCTTCTGAGGACCGCTGTGCTCATGAATGTGTGCCATTGTTCAGGCACACGTCGGCCTTAAGAATTAGCACAAAACAGCCCCGTCTTTATTCAGATGCAGAGCCCCCTCCATCACTCAGAGCAGCCCTTCCAGGTCACATGCCCGAGGCCTCTGCAGACAGGACGCAGCTGCCTCAAATCTGCTGCCTAACATTAGCCGCGGTTCGAAAAACCTGATGGCTCGGAGCTTCGCAGGGGAAACGAGGAAGATGTGGGGTCCAGGCGCTCGGTTCTCCGAGGAACTGTGGCTAGAAAATGAGAAAAAATGTGCTGTGGTTCGGAAGCCTAAGCAGGGCAGGAAACGCCAGGAGCTGTTGGCCGTGGCCTTGGGGGTGAAGGTGGGAGTCAAAGGCAGTTTTCTTTGGCCCCCTCTCAGACTCTTTGCCTGTTCACAGATCTCGTCCCTGGTCCGAAGGGCCGCCCTCACGCACAACGACAACCACTTCAACTATGAGAAGACACACAACTTTAAGGTAAGCAAGCCTCTGCGCTCTTTCTTCTGCTATTACCAGGCAGGTGGGGAGGTACAGTTGATGGTTTCCGTCCCCTCTTTTGATGGTAAAGTGATGAGATGGCAGATTCCTTTGCTCTCCACAACCAGCTACCTGCACAAAGTTAAGACCGTCGTTTTGTTCAACCCAGAGACCCTAGACAGCTGCTTGCCTGATGCCGGTGCCTAGAAACACCTATATGGATGTTAACTGAGTCCTGGGGCACTCGGCCCCATTTCTTCTCTGTATCCCCATGTCCAGCGGGAGAACAGCGGAGCGCGCCCAGTCCCTGGCACTGGGAGATCTTCTGAGGAACGCCGAGCAGTAGTTTTCCACTGAGAGTAGCTATCAAGAACATTGCCGTCTCTGAGGCACAGGAAACAGTTGCTCATTTCACATTCTGTGTTTTGCCTTTGTTTCCAGGGATGCTAACTCCTTTGGTTTATGTGTAGACAGCTGTGAAAGCAAAGGCTGACACGGGATACCATCCAGTAGCTTTTGTTTGTGCTCTGGGGACAGAGCGGGGCACCCCGGCGGCCTTGCCAAGCTCCCCTCTCAGCACAGCCTTGATCGTGCTCACCAGACCAAACAAAAAGATATGGAAAGCTGGTGGGGGCTTTAGTGCATATTCCCATGTGTGTTTATAAACTGCAAATACCGCTGTCTTCATTTCAGACTAGCCCTTGTGAAAAAAAAAAAATAAGAAAGAAAAAAAAACCCCACAACGGCCTACCATCAGAAATCACGGCCTATTTCCTTCACCCTAATGTGTTTTCCAGGAAATGGCTGGAGGAGATTCTGATGCCAAATTGCCTGGCCGGGGATGTTGTTCAATGGAGGAGACCCAGTTAGAGGCCTTATCCCAGCAAATGGGCTGATGTTTAGACGTTGGAGAGAGTGAAGATGAAGGATCCAAGAAGAGAAGTGGGGGGTGGAGGGTTAGCAAATTGTAAATTGTCTTTTTTTTTTTTTTTTTAACTCGTTTCCTTTAGGACCAGCAGCCCAAGTAGCTGTTGAAGGAACTCAATAGCCCTTCATTAGAGGTGATCAGGGAAACCTATCTTATTCTGTCGATTTCCAATTCTTCGGAAGGACAAATAGGTGTCTCTTAAATATACATTTGTGTCTGTTGGTTTGTTTGCCTGCTGCTGTTTATAGAAAGCGAGGGGCTTGGGCACTTGCATGCTGTAATTGAGCTGAGGAATGGAATTATTCAGCCCTCCATATTTAGCGTGAGGCTGAAGAGTTGTATAGATCCTCACCGACGCCAAGGCTCTTGATATTTCTCCTGTTGCTGAATAGTGACAGGTCTGATGGGGAGTACAGGAATCCTTTCGTGGTTTTTTTTCCCCCTCTTTTCTGTTTTCTGTATTTATCCTTATTAATTTTTTTGCCTTAAGAACATGTTTTTCTGACGCTGGGCAGAAGTCCTGATTCTTTGCATCCTTCAGATGCACTACTATGGATCGGGAAGATGGATCTTCTCGGACTTGGCAAACTCTCTTCCTTCCTCTCGAAAATTCCAACTCATCTGGCTTTGAGATGCAATTGGAATTATGCCCTTACTGCGATACATGTTTGCATGGGGGTGGCTTCTCCCTCGGCATACTGTGGCTGGGCTTGTGTGTTTTGCAGCAACTAAATATTTGTTCAATTGATACTTCCAAAACTGATTTCAGTGTTTTAGTCGTAGATCTCTGAATGGGAAGGGAAGACCTTTGAAACAAAAAGGCAGTTGAGACTTATTTTCCTAAATAGTGCTGTTGCTAATACATGATCCATATTAATTATTTATCAGTGGAATCCGTCAACAGCTTTCTTCAGTGTTTGCTTGAAAAGCCAGTATCTATTTGGTGTGACCTCTCCTAAATTACAGCTATTGAGAGAAGAAAAGGCAGAGAGCAGACAAGTTGTTAGGAGAAGGTACACAAGGCAGACAGGAGCATTTATTTCTCTTTCGTGTTTTAAATAGACATCTTTGAGATGTAGCAGACCCTTGATCTCTGTGTCCGTTGACTATGGCTCTCAATGGTACTGCCCGTGCCACTGTCCTGAAGAATGAGTGGCAGGGCCTGGAGGGGGCGGTTCTCTCTGGCACTCGTCACCCCCCTCCCCCGCCACCCTCCTTCAGCCCTCTACTCACCCCCAACTAATTTGAAGTGGAAATTTTGCAGGGTCTTTAGACGAATACTCTGAAAGCTGGTCAGTGCTATAAATAGAGCAGTGGGTTTTTAGTAATCACCATGGAATCAACCAAACAAAGAAAAACTCTTATCAAAGGCCCCCTGCCATCTGCTTGAAATCAGCATAAAATTAAGACATAAAACACAAACTTGTGCTTTATGCTGACATCTAAGGAGCTTTATGCAGAAACTCTTGGTTTGTAGTTCGGGTTATTATTGGAGAGTACTACCCAATTGGTATCGCGTAAGAATTCAATACAAAGAACAAATAATCACGTTTTCACGGTCATCAGCAAATAAGGTCTGCTAGCCCCTGTCTGCGCTCTGGCCTAGGGGGTCCTAGGAGAGATTCCAATCTGCCTACAGATCTAAATGCCTCACCCCACAATGAGAGAGTTCCTGCCCCAGGGACATAGGGACTATGCCTCCAGGTAAAAAGCAGTCTCCCTCTCCTGGCTCTCTCCAGGAACTACTTGAAGAGGAATGAATAGGAAGTCCCACCCCTCTACAGGGTGGGAACGGACTGCCAGAAAGCCTCCCAGGCACCGCTCCCCAGTGCCTACCTCCTGCCCTTACTTTTTACACAAAGCATGTCTAGGGAAAGCCAGAAGTTCGCTCTGGGAAGAAAAGCGTTTGGAAGCAAATTAAAGTTACACTTCGTCTCCTGCAATAATTCTGTGCTTTTCAACACTGTATGCAGGTATAGTTGTTGCTCATTTAAATCCTAAGTTCTCTGGGATGACTTGCACATACTGGGAATCAGGAGGTATTTGTTGAAGTTACGAAGTCGATAGGATCTTCTCTGATATGGAAACCCGTTGCTACAGGAAGAAATACTCCTTTATTGAACCCATTTTATATCTGCATCTCTATTTATCTAGGAGACACCATCTCCTGTATGTAGAATAGCTCTCTTTGGGATGGTCTACCCTAATAACACCTGTGGCTAAGCTCCAAAATCTCCAGCCCCCCTACAATCTAGATACCCATCCTTCCTTCCCCACTTAGCACACTGACGACGTAGCAATGGCCAGCGTAGTACTCCTGGCCATAGCTCGACCTTTGGAAAAGAGCTTAGTTTTCTGAGTCTCAGTTTCCTTATGTGTAGAATGGGAGTGTGGTAAGGTTTAAACAATACATGTAAATCACTTATGGTCCGTGGCACCCAGTAAGTTTAGCTTCTATTATTATTTTACTATTCATCTTTTTGTCTCTCTCATCTCCTGTGCTTTAATGTTCAGCTTTCTCTGTCTCTGTAGTTCTTCTTTTGGTTTTTTTTTTTTAATGTTTATGTAGAGAGCGAGCGTGCATGTGGATGGGGGAGAGGCAGAGAGAGAGAGAGAGAGAGAGAGAGGAGAGAGAGAGAATCCCAAGTAGGCTCCATGCCTGCTGTCAGTGCAGAGCCCAACTCGGGGCTCGATCTCACGAACCATGAGATCATGACCTGAGCCGAAATCAAGAGTTGTACGCTTAACCGACAACCATCCAAGCACCGCCATTTCTTATTCTCTACCCTTACTTCTCCATGTCCTTCTTTCTTCTTTCCATCATCTGTTTCTCCCTCTCTCATTAACTACATGTAACAGAAAAATGCAAGCATGTTCTGGGCAATGGAAATGGCACAAATGAAACCTTGGAGTCAGAAATGAGCCAGGAGTGAACAGGGTGCAGGAAGAGACTAACAGGAAAGAGGAGCTCGCTTCACGTCTGGGTTGGACCACATCCAGGGAGGCTCACGAACCTGGGCGTTTTCTCCGCTCGGGTGCTCAGCCCTCACAGTGTGCACATGCACTTACACCACTCCTTCCTTCTACTGTATTCTCTCCCTCCACCCAAATATTGTAGAACCACTCTTCTCTCCTTATAAGTCCTTATAAGGACTATGGATAGAGAGCAGAGGTCCAGAAAATTCTTAAAGTTGAAAAGCAAGCCACTTGACCCCGCCTTACCCCACATTCCCCATCCCCTGTCCACCTCCCTGCCCTTTCCTCACCCCTCCCCTTCGATCCCTTCCCTGTCCCCCACCCATCCCTCACCCAGCCTCCTACCAGCTTTACTTTTCTCCATAGCACTGACCACTGGCATGGTACGTGTGTACTTGTATGCTTACCTTCCCCTTACCAGCCAGAAACACTCACCCCTGGGGCTACGGACAGGGGGTTTGGTCTGTTTTTCTTTTGCAGAAACCCCAGTGTCCAGAACAGGGCCTGGCCCAGAGCAGACTGTCAGTAGATATTGGTTGAAAGTACGTGTAGCAGACGCCTCAGGCCCTGTCTATCTAAGGCCGCACGTTCTGTCCCCACTGGTCACCCCACCCCACAGTTTGCCCCCGGGTATGGCTTATCACACTTGTGTTAGCTGCGTTCAAGCCCTTGCGGGTATGAGCCCTTGCCAGGGCCGCTAGAATGTGCCAGGGAGACGGACCGTACCAGGGTGTGCCAGGCCAGCCCCCCTGCCCCGTCTGGCCGGCGGCTCTGGTGGTCTTACCCACAGGGGTAAGACCTGCCCCGGCTTACTCTTGTTGTCCCAGCTTGTTGTGTGGCAACTCTCAAAAGTGGCCCAGTCTCCACAGAAGTTAAACGGTTTCTCAGTCTAGCGTTCCGCGTCCCCTGCTCCCTGTAGACCACGGCTGCCCCAGCAGCGCCAGCTCCACGTGCGTGTTCATTCAGCAGCCTCCTCCTGCGCACGCCCACCCGGGAACGCGCACCAGAGCTCAGGAGGCTGAGTGTGTCCTGCGGCCAGGGCCCCTGTCCCGGGCGCGGCGGCACCGCCACCCCGCCGTGGGGGTGATGTGGCCCATTCACGGATTCTGTGCCTTTCATTCCTTCCTGCGTCCTTATCCGTCAGCGGTCACTTGCTTTGGAACAAGACATCTGTGCTTTCCGTCTGCGAAGCCCTCCGTTGTCCTTGTCCTTGACTTCCTAAAACCGTGGGAGCCCTTCTGTGTCCCTCCTCTCTTGCCTGTCTCGTGGGCACGCGGTGGCCCGGCGCCCTTTGCTGCCCCGGGCCCATCCCCCTTCCGTGTGCCTCGACAGCAGGGACCGTTGGGTGGGGCACCTGCCGAAATCTGCTTCAGAAACCGTGCTGGGTTTTATGTTGGTGCTTTTGTTTATTAATCAGAAAAGGCTGTATGGACAGAATCGAGTGTGGAGGGAGCAACTCCGAGGCAAAAGGCAGACTTCGTCACCTTGGGTATAAAATGAGAGACTCAAAGCCCGACTGACTGGAAGACCTAGGTTTGGACCTATTGGGCTTTATGGAGAAAGCATGGTTACCGATCCCAAAAGGCTCCGAAGAAGAGTCGTTTTTATCTACCTCCTCCTCGAGCCTGGCTTCACCATTATAATTATGAGAAACTCCTTCTTATTTTCAACTAGTAGAAGCGCAGGAGATGGTCTTAAGTAAGAGGCTATCATTACACAGGAGGGTCTCTAGGAGCCCCCAGGGACTGCTCAGAACTCAGAAGAGGAAGAGAAACTGGGAGCACTCTCGCCTCTTTATTGTCCTCTGCTCTCTGGGCCTCAGCCTCCTCGTTTTCTCCCTGAACAAATCTGTCATGTTCCGCCTGGTCTGCGGAATAGGGCTGAAGGCGACTCCCTAGTTTATGTTACAAGATCAGCCGCAAAAATCCCATTCACAAATTTCCAGAGGGAGAACCAGATGAGCCTGACTCTCAGCGGGTGTCTGCCTTGCTCAGGTCACTCCCCTACGCACCTGGAGGGGGGTGTGGACTGTCCGGAGGATGGGAGTGTCCAGGTTACCTCTAAAAGGACAGGACCCTTCTGGGTAGATAGCCCGGAGGTGTCAGTTATCATCCTTTCCTCCTTGTTTTGAAGAATTCCCCTTAAAGTTTCACCTCCAAGTCCAGCGTCTTCTGCCGGGTTCTGCTTAAAGTAAATCAAGAAGCTACTCTGAGCCTAGATATTTTTATTAATATTAATATCTGCAAGCCTAGGCATTCTGCAGCCCGCCTTAGCCATGGTGCCTGACTGGGCATAAGGAAGAGTTTACTTTTTTCAGTTTATTTATTTATTTTGGGAGAGAGAGACAGCATGAGTGGGAAGGGGCAGAGAGAGGAGAGAGAGAATCCCAAGCAGGCCCTGCGCTGTCAGCACAGAGCCCGACCTGGGACTCAAACCTCTGAACCGTGAATCATGACGGGAACTAAATCAAGAGTTGGATGCTAACCGACTGAGCCACCCGGGCACCTCTAAGGAAGAGTTTTTATTCTTTTCGTTCCATCTTTTACGAAGCGTACCTGTCACTGTTGTGCCGTTTGGGAGCCAGGAGTAACCCTCAGTGAAACTGCGAAGTGAGCAAGGTTTGCCTCTGGCAGACTCTTCACCCTCTGCCCCTGGATTGTTTCAGTTGCCTCCTCCCATCGCTTGTCTGCTGAGTTGCCCCATCGAACCACCCTGCTTAGACCTGCCGGCTCCAGTTTCTAGATCCTAGCGGCTGCTTCTCCCTTGCTTGAGGCTTTGCATGTTTCTGATAGTCTCCACGTTATGGTCAATTTGAAATGTCACCTGACTCCTCACAAACCAACCTGGTAAGTTGCTCAGAACCCTTTCTTCTGTGACTCACCAAGAGCTACTATGGCATCACAGAGAGAACATGCTCAGTTTTTAAAGGGCTTGTTCACAAAAATGGCAGTTCAGTTAATCTAGTAGTCGTGTTTTAAATGGGCCCTCTTGGGGCGCCTGGGTGGCTCAGTCGGTTAAGCGTCCGGCTTTGGTTCAGGTCATGATCTCACAGTTCGTGGGTTCGAGCCCTGTGTTGGGCTCTGGGCCGATAGCTCAGAGCCTGGAGCCTGCTTCCGAGTGTGTGTGTGTGTGTGTGTGTGTGTGTGTGTGTGTGTGAGAGAGAGAGAGAGAGAGAGAGAGAGAGAGAGAGGTGGGGGAGAGAGAGAGAGAGAGAGAGAGAGAGAGAGAGAGAGAGAGAGAGAGGGAGGGAGGGAGGGAGAGATCCCGCCCTCCTCCCCTGGCTCACATTCTGTCTCTCTCCCTCTCAAAAATTAACATTAAAAAAAATGTTAATGGGTCCTCTTGAGGCCAATAGCACGACGCCTTTATCCAGTGCAATTTCAATGATGGCTGGGATTTCAGGCAAGAGAGGAAACAATTTTTGGACAAATTTCTCACACAGGTGAGGACCTTCTCGGCCTGCCAGGGTCTGAGTAAAATCTTATCTTCTTCCTCCTTGACATGTCTTTACGTAAATATTGGAACACCATCATTGTAGATCCTTGACAAACCATCAGAACCTGGTGGAAGATTTTGACAGCCAACCGAAGAGGGGCTCCTTGCTTAGGCCACACACCAGCGAAGTGGCTTGGCCAAGCTCTTCCACAAATGTAAATCATCTGCTGATGAGTCTGACCCATATCAAGTGCTTAGCTGTTATGAATTTTATATTTTGCTTTATCCCAAAGAACATATCAAAGGGGCTATTCTCCACGACTAAATGGCCGATTCTGGCATTTTAAGTCCAGAGAAATACTCCTTTTGTGTTTTGTGAGGGGAAAAATAAGAGCCCCAATGATCACTGTCCATATTAGTTGGGTCTTTTTCAAAGTTCTAGGATGAGGAAACTATTTAGATATGCATTTCTTTATTCAGCGAATATGGACTGAGAGCCAGCTATGTGCCAGGCACTGCCAGGTACAAGAAAGACCAGTGGAGACGTTAGAACGTGACCTCTTCTCCTGGGTGGTGTTTAGCCACAGTGATTTTGCTCCTCCTGGGATGTGTGGCAGAGACATTTCTGAACCTTCTAACTGGGATGTGCTCACGGGGTAGCTAGCAGAGGCCAGAGATTCTTCTAAACATCCTCCAATGCCCAGCACATCCTACAGGTCCTGACCACAAAGAGTTATCTGGCCCCAACATCAGCAGGGCTGGGGTTGAGAAAACACGCACTAGACCGTGGAGGAGAACTAGAGGCTTGGAGGGCAGGGAATTGTCACAAGAATATTGGTGCTGATACCTGGTAAACCTGAGAGGAAGTCAGCACAAGAATATGTCACTTTGTGCAGGGGGGAGATACCCGAAACACTTCGTGGCAATCAGTGTTATGGAAACTAAATCCTTTTTTTAAAGCTACGAGAACAGCTACTGAATAGACAGACTGGGGGTGAGTGATGCCCCAGTTGACACACCCGGCTCTCTGGCAACATCTACAGAGCAGGCTTCTCTGGGAAACCCAGTCTCCCGTCACAGACCGAGCGGTTCCCCTCGGCTGTTTCTCTTACATCTGAAAAGGTTCACTTCAAGGTCAGTATTTCATCTGATCTTGCAAGAGGGGAAGGTCCAAAGTTTAACCTAATTTCTCATGAGTTCAATGTCACATGATTACGAAAAAAGCAGTAGATGACAGGAAGAACCCTTGGCTGAGCCCTGGAGGCCAAGGGCAGCTGACCCTCCAGGTGACTATGGACAAGCCCTTGGGGTGACTCTGGGCAGAAGCTAGACTACATGACCCCCAAAACCCAGTGACCTGTAACCAGAAGTCCCCTCTTCTATGCTAAGACAAAGCTGCCTTTGACCCAAAGAGCCCTTTTAAAATCAAAGTAAAAGATAAAGTTCTCATTTAAAAAAAAATGTTTAATGTTTTTTTGAGAGAGAGAGAGAGAGAGAGAGACAGAGTATGAGTGGGGGAGGGAAAGAGAGAGAGAGAGGGAGACACACAATCCAAAGCAGGCTCCAGGCTCCCAGCTGTCAGCACAGAGCCCAATGCACAGAGCACAGAGCTCGCCAACCAGGAAATCATGACCTGAGCCAAGGTCAGATGCTTAACCGACTGAGCTACCCAGGCGCCCCCTTAAGTTCTCATTTTTAATACAAACAATAAAACAGCCAGCGAGTCCCTATCAAGGTTATTTTGCCCTGTGGGCACATTTCGCAAAGTCTGGGACATTTGTGGCTGTTCCGGCTGAGGGATGCTACTAGCATCTAGCGGGTAGAGGCCAGGGATGCCTCTAAACAGTGTACGGTGACGATTTTTCCAGCCCAAAATGTCCCTAGTGCCAAGGTTCAGAAATCTTGACGTACGCCGATGGACACGGAGAAGCAAACTTTCTCGACTGTAGCACATCCCAGATACACTTTCCGTGTCTTACAGTCTCGAACCTGGTCTGAGCTGATTACACACTTGGATGGGGGCTGCGCTGACCCATCAAAACATACTAGTTATGAAATCTCGAGGGAATACAGCCTTCCAGATTCAGCAGCTGTGAGACAAACAACATCCTGCCCATTTAGAGTCAAGTCAGGGGTACTCACCGAACGCCTGAGATTTTTCTTGACAAATCTGGCTCTTGTTTGCACTAAGTGGCCATTCCTGGGCCATGTGTCAAACATACCTTATCTCCCGTAATATCATCTTTTTCTGTTTGGTGTGGTTTTGGAATTCCAGGCAGACCATGCCCCGTATAATGGTCTTGGACAGACATTCTTCCTGTCTGGGGTATTTTCTTCCTGTCTAGGGTATTTTAGTTACTGCCTTAAAGCTGGCAAAATGTTCTTTTTTCTGAAAAGATATTCTTGAAAATCAATAAACTTCACAGAATGGAAAAAGCTGATTAGTGATTTTTCAAGATACGGGGTACTTCGTTGGGAGAGTAGCCATCATAACTCAACCCTAAATAAAATGCGTTCCGAGAGTGACCTCAGCGTTCCATATAGCCTGCTGTTTAGAGATTGCCCTTGCGGACCCCAAAGAAAATTGAACAATATATCAGCCATGAAAATAAACAGTGGCCCATCACAAAGAGGAAATTAGGCAGTGGGCCTAAAATAATGTTTAACTAACTTTACATTCCCCTCTGTCCCCATTTTGTCTTATTTCCGCGGGAATGTGTACTTGTGGGGACACAGAAGTTATTTGCTCTTCAAAAAACATCTGTCTGCATTTGTTTGGCTGGGGAAATGAGATCGAAGGCAGTGGGGATGTACTGATGGGAAAGCATGTTGGTAAATATGGCCAAGGCTCATAAGCATTAAATGCAGTTTTGATACGCACCATTTTTTAAAAATAGGGGTAAAAAGCGAAATTTTTGAAAATACTGATACAGCCTGTATTTTCCTGAAGCATTCATTAGGCTGGTTTCTATTTTGCCTCTGTAAAGTAAGCATTAGAGCTAGTCTCCTAATTACTAAATACACTCTTTTCTTTCTTTCCTTTTTTAAACATTGTGTTTTCATTTTTACCCCAAGGTGTGGAAATATTTCCCATGCAACTTCTTATCCACTGGAGCTGATGTTTCAGAAAAAAAAGTGTCACTCCTTTTTTGCATGACCTTTCATGCCCCCCCCCCCCCCCGGCTGGCCTTTGGCCATGTTGTTTCCTCTTCTTGGAATGTCCTCCCTAAGATGCCCGCCACCCCAGTCCGCACTACGTCCCCACCAGATTCCATCCCTCCTAGTCTGGTGAACTCTTATCCATCCTTCAGAACTCAAATATCATTTTCCCCAGACTTCTCAGCAAGAGTTTATTGTAATTTCTGTTATCCTGCCGTAGGACCAGTATTTATGTTGCCTGTTTATTCTTATAAATGAGACCCTTGAGTGCAGGGAGGGCTATGCTCCTCTGAGCCATCTGACTCTGTAAATCCAAAGACTAGTACGGCGCCAGCTTCAAAGTAGGCAGTCGACACGTAAGTATGAAATAGACGCGTGAATAATGAGTGGGTGGATAGGTAGAAGACATAGGAAATGACGCATCCCTCTGACCTCCTTCTCCCACTAATTTGTAAAGCCACTTCCAAGATACACCAGTTCTCCAGAGATATGTGATTCAGTGTCTGACCTTTCTGCTCTGTACTGCTGGTCTGTCTGTCCATCCTTCAGTGTTTTCCTTTTTTGTTACTATAGATGTCTTGATATATGGTCAGATGTATTTTCCTACATTCTTTAACTTATTCAAAATTATTGTGGCTCGGGGCGCCTGGGTGGCTCAGTCGGTTAAGCATCTGACTTCAGCCTAGGGCTCTGTGCTGTCAGCTTAGCACCTGGAGCCTGCTTCGGATTCTGTGTCTTCCCCCCACTCTGACCCTCCCCCACTCTCGCTCTTTTTCTCTCAAAGATAACACATTAAAAAAAAATAAAAGCAAAGACAAAATTATCATGGTTAGTCTTTTTGGCTTTTTTCTTCCATAGGAGTTTTAGAGCCTTCTTATCAGGTTTTGTGAAAAGTACCATGGAAATTTTGACTGAAATTAATATTGGATTTATAGATTTGGGGAGGATAATTTACATATTTATAGCATTGAGCATTGCTATGCAAGAATAGAGAATATCTCTCTTCTTATTTATGTCGTTAATGCCTTTAGTTATTTTCTAATTATTTTAGATTGTGTTGTAAATGGAGTCTTTAATTTCATTTTTCAATAAAATGAGTTATTTATGTATAGTATGCTTCTGATTTCTTTATATTGCTCTTATATTAAAGAAACTTGATGGCCTGTTTTTTTCTTTCAAGTATATATTTCTTTGCCT